AAGTGTAACCTTACTGTTTTTCTTTTGTAAATCTACGATGGAGAGTAGAGTGGAGTTTTATTTGGTTATATGTTTTTAGTTAAGAAACAGATCTTACTAACCTTTAAAAAAATATAAAACATAGGTATTAAGCTAGCCTAGAGCAGTATTTTTATTAAGCAGTAAGACTGTGCTACTTTCAAGGTCTATAGATGGTTAAGGTGCAAAGACGGCCTTTAGCAGAGTGTGATGCTCTTCCTGTTGGATGTGGGAGATTAAGGAGAATTTCCACATTACTGATCATTATGTCTGCACGAAGTGTGCTTGGTTGTGAATCCTATCCATTTCCATGGATCGGTTGGAGCGGCCGTTAGAGGCAATGAGGAAATTACATGAGCTTGGAGGTGTGATAGATGGCAGTTGCAGGAAGGGAGATAAACCGAAGATACAGCCTCCAGGAAAGGTAGGACGGGTAGACAGGTAGTGCAGGAGTCTCCTTTATCTATCTCTACCTCAAACAAATATGCTGATTTGGAAAATGTAGCTGGTGATGGACTCTCAGGGGAATGAAGCACTGACAGCCAGGTTTCCGATACTGAGACTGGCTCTAATGTAACGAGGAAGTTCCAAGCGATCAATTGTGATGGGCGACTCTCTAGTCAGAGGCACAGATAGACAATTCTGTGGCCGATAGCAAGACATCAGAATGGTATGTTGCCTCCCCGGAGCCAAGATCAGAGATGTCTCAGTGAGGGTGCAGAATATTTTCAAAGGGGAGAGGGACCAGCTGGAGGTCATTGTACACATTGGAACTAACAACATAGGAAGAAAAAAGGATGAAATTCTGAGGAGAGAATATAGGAAGTTAGGCAGGAATTTAAAAAAAGGATGTCCTCATGGGTAATAATACCTTGATTACTGCCAGTGCCACGGGCTAGTGAGGATAGAAATAGGAGGATAGAGCAGATGAATGTGTGGCTGAGGAACTGGTGCAGAAGAGAAGGATTCACATTTTTGGATCATTGGAATTTCCTCTGGGGTAGCAGTGACCTGTACAAGGAGGACAGATTGCGCCTGAATTCGAAGGGGACTGGCAGGGGGATTTACTAAAGCTGCTCTGGAGAATTTGAACTGGCAAGGGCAGGCAGATGGGGGGTGGGGGCGGTGGTGGGGAGGGGTGGGGGGTGTGGGGTTGGTGGGTGGGTGTGGTGGTTTTTGGTGAAAACCAGGGAGATAGTGAGGAAGGAGATCAGTCTGAAACTGGTACAATTGGGTAAAGCAGTAAGTCAAACAGACAGGGCAGGCAGAAACAAAGTAGAGAACGAAGTAGGGCTGATAAATTAAACCACATTTATTTCAATGCAAGAAGCTTAACAGGTAAGGCAGATGAACTCTGGGCATGGTTACGAACATGGGACTGGAGTATCATAGCAATTACAGAGACATGACTCAGGGATGGACAGGACGGGCAGCTTAATGTTCCAGCGTATAAATGCTATAGGAAGGATAGACAAGGGAGTGAGAGAGGAGGGGGAAGAGATGTTTTTGATCAGGGATAACATTACGGCTATACTTAGGGAGGATACTTCTGGGAATATGTCCAGGGAAGATATTTGGGTGGAACTGAGAAATAAGAAAAGGATGATCATCTTATTGAGATTGTACTATAGACCCCTCAATAGTTAGCTAGAAATTGAGAAACAAATTTGTAAGGAGATCTCAGTTACCTGTAAGAATAACAGGGTAGTTATGGTAGAGGATTTTAACTTTCCAAACATAGACTGGGACTGCCATAGTGTTACAGGCTTGGATGGAGAGGAATTTCTTAAGTGTGTGCAAGAAAATTTTCTGATTCAGTGTATTGATGTACCTACTACAGAAGGTGCAAAACTTGACCTACACTTGGGAAATAAGGCAGGGCAGGTGACTGAGGTGTCAGTTGGGGAGCACTTTGGGACCAGTGACCATAATTCTATTAATTTTAAAATAGTGATGTAAAAGGATAGACTGGCTCTAAAAGTTAAAGTTCTGAATTGGAGGAAGGCAAATTTTGACAGTATTAGGCAAGAACTTTCAGAAGTTGATTGGGGGTGGATGTTTGCAGGTAAAGGGACGGCTGGAAATTGGGAAGCCTTCAAAAATAAGATAACAAGAGTTCAGTGACAGTATGTTCCTGTTATGGTGAAGAGCAAGGCTGGTAGGTGCAGGGAATGCTGGATAACGAGAGAAATTGAGGTTTTGATCAAGAATAAGAAGGAAGCATATGTCAGGTATAGATAGCAGAAATCAATTGATTCCCTAGAAGAGTATAGAAGGCAGTGAGAGTTTACTTAAGAGGGAAATCAGGGGGGCAAAAAGGGGACACGAGATTGCTTTGGCAAAGAGGGTTAAGGAGAATCCAAAGGAATTGTATAAATACATTAAGGACAAAAAGGTAACTAGGGGGAGAATAGGGCCCCTTAAAGATCAGCAAGGCCACCTATGTGCGGAACCGCAGGAGATGGGGAAAGATACTAAATGAGTGTTTTGCATCAGTGTTTATTAAGGAGAAGGTTATGGAAGATTAGGTTATGGAAGATAAAGAACGTGGGAAAATAAATAGCGACCTCTTGAAAATGTTCATGTTACAGAGGTGGTGGTGCTGGACATCTTAAAACGCATAAAGGTGGATAAATCCCCGGGGCCTGATCAGGTGTAACCTACAATTCTATGGGAGGCTACAGAAGTGATTGCTGGGCCCCTTGCTGAGATATTTGGATCATCGATAGCCACAGGTGAAGTGCTGGATGACTGGAGGTTGGCTAACATGGTGCAACTATTTAAGAAAGGTGGTAGGAAAAGCCAGGAAACTATGGACCAATAAGCCTAACATCGGTGGTCGGCAAGTTGTTGGAGCGAATCCTGAGGGACAGGATTTACATATTTTTGGAAAGGCAAGGACTAATTAGGGATAGTCAACATGGCTTTGTCCGGTGGGAAATAGTGTCTCACTAGCTTGATTGAGTTTTTTGAAGAAGTAACAAAGAGGATTGATGAGGGTAGAGCAGCGGATGTGATCTATGTGGACTTCAGTAAGGCATTCGACAAGGTTCCTCATGGTAGACTGGTTAGCAAGGTTAGATCACATGGAATAGAGGGAGAACTAGCTATTTGGATACAGAACTGGCTCAAAGGTAGAAGATAGAGGATGGTGGTGGAGGGTTGCTTTTCAGAGTGGAGGCCTGAGACCAACAGTGTGCCACAAGGATTGGTGCTGGATCCACTGATTTTGGTCATTTACATAAATGATTTGAATGTGAATATAGGAGGTATGGTTAGTAAGTTTGCAGATGACACCAAAATTGGAGTTGTAGTGGACAGCAAAGGTTACCCCAGAGTACAATGGGATCTTGATCAGATGGGCCAAAGGGCTGAGGAGTGGCAGGTGGAGATTAATTTAGATAAATGTGAGATGCTGCATTTTGGAAAGGCAAATCAGGGTAGGATCTATACACTTAAGGTCCTGGGGAACGTTGCTGAACAAAGAGACCTTGGAGTGCAGGACCTTGGAAGCGTCAGAGGCTGAGGAGCGACCTTATGGAGGTTTATAAAATTATGAGGGGCATGGATAGGAAAAATAGACAAGGTCTTTCCCCAGGATAGGAGAGTCCAAAAGTAGAGGGCATAGGTTTAAGGTGAGAGGGGAAAGATTTAAAAGGGACCTAAGGGGCAATGTTTTCATGCAGACGGTGGTGCATGCATGGAATGAGCTGCCAGAGGGATTGGTGGAGGCTGGTACAATTACAACATTTAAAAGGCATCTGGATGGGTAAATAAATGGGAAGGATTTAGAGGGACATGGGCCAAATGCTGGCAAATGGGACTAGGATATCTGGTTGGCATGGATGAGTTGGACTGAAGGGTCTGTTTCCACGCTGTATATCTCTATGATGCTAAATAATGCAAATGAAAACAGTTGTAAGAGTTATATTTATTCAGTATAACAACATAATAAAGAAATACGAAATAAAATCAGAATAAAGTAAAGACTAATGCATATAAAGTGGCATTCATCAAGTGCATAAATTCTACAGGTGATCAGATTAGCCACGGTTAAGACAGTTTAATTTTTGTATTGATACAACATTGAACGCGCAGGCACTGAATAAAAAAACTGGGCAGAAATATGTACCACTGAAATTGGAATATAATCTGACTTTGTTATATTAATGGATATCTATTACTACATCACTCCATTTTATATGATATTTTATTAATTGTCTTATACTCTGATAAGCTGTTACTGTAGCTATTTTTGTGCATTCCCCATGGAACTTCCGCCTTGTTCTGTATCTTAATAATAGTATTCGTACTCATCAAATCTGATTAACAGAATTATATGAGTTGAATTTTCATTCAGCCATGCCAGTAGGAAGATGGACTGGTAGATCCTCGCTACCTGCCAGCCTGTCAACATGTACTTGTTTCCATGATATTTTGCAAGCTGCTGCTTTGAGGATAGCCTGGGGGAAGGGTTTTGGTAAGGTGGAGAGTGAAGGCATGAAAACTGCCCTTCTGATTTCTCAAACAATATTCACAGCCTACAAGCTGAGGCCAAAATCCAGTTGATGAATGGAAATAGATTCCTAGCAGCCAGCATTTGTGTTAGCCACCCACTGAAAATGGGCCATTGACTGTCCTGTAAAGGTGTTTCTCCTCCACATTGCAGCCATTTTTTATTTTAACATTTTTAAGATTCTTCAGAGGACACCTCCATCAGCAGCACCCACAGTGACTACAGTGATGTCGATTTTTGCAAGAGGATCTCCAGCTGGCCCTCCAGCATTAGGAGCTCAACACTCAACTTTAGTTGGACAGCTAAGGCGCTAGCTTGCCACAAATTGGCTATCTTCTTGAAAATTGTTATCCAGCACTGGTATGCTATGACAGCAGGCTGCAGAAATTCTCTTGATGTTAGGGTCCAGTTTCAATAACGAAAAGTCAATTCTGAATTTTTAGTAAAGAAAAATGCCAGTTGTTACCTTAATAGTATCTAGTGCAAGTTCCACTACAGCACATTGCTTGGGGGAAAGACTTTTTGCTTCTTCTCTGACCATGTGATCCTGTAAGTACAAAAGACCTTATTAATCTGTCTTAAATCAAAAACAAAATTAAAAAACTATGGCCTTGCTACAACTAACACTAGATTTTCCAGACTGATTTTAATCAATTCTTTGTTCTGATCCTCTATTAAGTATTGGGTCTTTATTTTCTACAAACTAAAGATATTGTTGAGTTTCAATTTCTTCTGGTGCACATTTACCATTAAACATTCCAACTACAAGAGGGCTAGGAAAGGAACTTGGGTGGACAACAGCTTAGTTGGTGTAAGATCAAGAAAACAGGAAGTTGTTTCAAGTTACCTATTACATGTACATCTAGCATCTACTATACATCAGTAGAATATATATTTTATTACATGGACAAGAACAACTCAGGAGATGACATGAGGTTGATATGAATGAAACCAGAGGGAAGAGAGAGATGGTATCACTTAATTTTCATGCTTAATCATTAGTCCAGAGAGCATTTGTACTCTCCTGTAAATTTGGACATATCACAAAATAGATGAATAAACTGTCTTTACTGAATGATAGAATAGAATTTATGATGTTCACTGAACACCAGAAATACTAGAAAACACTTTAGTTGCTAGATGATTTCATGTCACGAAGGTAATGATCTGGATTAAGATGCATTACACTCCTACCTTTAGCTTTGAAAGCTGCCCCAGTTCTTTTGCAGCATTAAAAATAAGCTGCGTGCCCTTTGGAACAGAAAAGGAAAAAAAAATGAATGCCAAAACTCAGATAAAACAATATTTTAAAAAAACAAGTTACAATCTTGCACTGCACAAAACATTTTCAAAATACAGTCACAGACACATTCAACACAAATTATTTTCTTACATCGCTGTGACAGACAAGCTTCACCCTTCCCTGAAAAGAGAGTATTTATTATTTTTTGTACATTGCTTATTAATTGAATGCAGAAAGTTGTCAACAAAAATTTGCAGTAGTGACCATATAATCAGAGAAATTGACAAAATAAAATGGCAAAATCAGGGAAATCTATCTTAAATACCTGAAATTTATAGATATGTAGTGTTTAAATTAAAATTGTTCATGTGTCAAGGATTAAATGTGCAAAACATAGTATGTAATAGGTTTGTTATGCAAAACCAAGGTTGCAAATTCAGGCTTAAGTCACTGCATAGGCTAACACTAATACAATCGTACAGTGCAACACAAGCGGTGCTTGTGTAAAGTGATGCTGTAAAGGCCCAACTTTACAGTTGAAACAATGGTGAAACTGACAGCATTTGTCATTGTTACACCTGTAAACTTCTGATGTCTTCACATGCACTGTTAAATGCAGAATTCTACAAGTTGCTATCGGATTTGTCTGCTCAACCATAGAGGATGCTGTAGCTGTCCGCAGGTAGAAATGTTTGAAATCAAATGACATGAATTTTTACTCTATTTATTAGTCTTGTTGCCCTTGGAAAAGTTCCAGCTTATTGAATGAGGTGCAACTAAGATTTTGATGGTGTATTCAGTTCATAATTTAAGTATTGAGCAACCTTCGCTGGCCCTGGAAAAAAACTGATCGTATATTTGTGATATGTCAAATTTGGGTTTAATTATAAACATGCCACATTTTAATAAAATATATTTTTTTAAGGTTTCAACTTCTATCATAATCCCAAATGAATAGCTACTTACCTTTGTTGATAATACACTTTTGCCAGACAAGAGAGATCCCTTTTGGTTGGTGCCAGAAACAGACTAACATGGAGAAAGGTAAAATCTATCCCGCAGAGATCATGCAAGATCTTTGTGGACAGCTTTCTTTGATTAAGTGGTGACTGCCATTGCTTCATCACTGATCACAAAATAAACATTTTCTAGGAAATTATTTAAGTTTGTTTTAAGTACCTACTTGCATACACACCGTGCCCACAGTGAAGTAAACTTGTTATGATGGTGGAAGATATGGACTATCAAATTTTAATTTCCGTCATCAGACTGTTATATCTGAGACCACTTATGGACTAAAATAGTTTTAAATAGGATGATATAGGGATCCAAAATGGGTGCAGTGGTCACTGGACCACAGATTGAGACAAATTTCATGAAACTGCATGTGCAATAATGTAAACTATCTGTACTGAGATTACCATTCTTATGTAAAAAAAATTGAAAACAAGACACTAAGGCAGCATCAAGAATTTTGCTTCTCGTGTTTAATTTACACATAAATGATAATTTCACATATTGGAAGATGAAAGGCACGCTTGTCAGTTAGTCAGCTTGAAAAGACAATGGAGCTAGAATTCAAAATACACAATAATCTGTATTTTTACATCTGGTTTTGAGCAAAAGAGTAGAAAGGAGGAAAACTGGATTTGTAGGCAAGTACTGGAAGACTATCTCTCTCTCCCTACCAATCTCTCATCATTTTAGAAAACAGTACTTGTGAAAAACATAACTTTGGAAAATATCTATTCAAGACTCAAACTTCAAAGACTGAAACTGCATAGCCTTTTTCCTTCCGGTCTGTACCACTCTCTCTCAAACTTATTACCCATGTTTGTGTATTTACATCGTGTTTTTATTATTATTGGGGTTAATAGACATAAAATTCTTCCTTTCACTCAAGAAAACTTTGGTAATTTGTCTCCTTCATTTCTAGCAATTTTTAAATTTAAGTGTGATAACTGTGTGCTAAAAAGGATTATTAGAATCCTTGTTGCAATCATTCCAAAAGCAATTACTAATGAGAGGAACTGATCTACTCTCCCTGTTGTGACAGTACTGTGCATTTAAGAGAGAAGTATTCTATGCTGTTTCTCTTGCAGAGGGGTATTGCCACAGTGGTGCCGGAATTTCTCCTTCAGACAGTTAGTAAACAGCTTTTGAGTTCTCCCTGCATGTTTTTTTAAAAATGAGACAAAATGATCAACAGTGGGTGTGGTCAGGAAGTATTGTAGTTTTTGCTTTTTGTTAGAAGGTTTCAGCTGGCCCCTGAAAGCTGTTAGAATGAAGTCTTAGATGGGAGGCTTCCTCTTAAAAGTCAAAACGGGCAGATTGTTTCTTTATTCTGTACTGGAGAGATAGCACATGAGAACGGTAACTGATTTGCTGCATTGCATTTTTGAAAAGGGTGTGTTTACGGGATGCTGCCTATATTGGAACAGTTGATGATCTGGGTTGAATAATACATTTCTTGTTAGGTATTTCAGTAAAGTTATGCCAATTCTCTTATTTATATTCTTACAACACAGTTAAAATAAAGTGTGTTTTGGTTAAAGCCTAGTGGTAGATTATCAAATCACATCTGGAACACAACACTTTACACTTGCCTTTAAATAAATGTAGAAGTTAGGGTCTAGGCCATCTCCTTACAATACTTGGGGATAGGTCAGGTCTGGTCTGGTCTGTAATACTGTTCATTACATTCTGATTTTCAATCTTATGAATATTATTACCACCTGCAATTGGGAAAGATTGTCTACATTTAGCCCTGAGGAAAGATTAATTGTTTCCCTTGATGAAAAGAAACCTCTGCCATCAAGTGGATTGTTTGCTTGCCTGCTGCAAGAATCTTCTGGCACACTTTTTAGTAAAGTTATTTTTCTCTGCCAACCTAAGTCATGTTATTCTTTGTTCTGAAGTAGTTAACCTTCACATATGTCACAAAGGTATGTTTTTGGTTCCTGGTATAAGTAGAATTTAAGTAGCATGCAGGGTTTTGAATTGCTGATGAGCACGTAATTGCAGTAGAAAACTTCCTGTGATCAGACCAAGCCAAAATTTGTTTCTCATTATGAATGCCTGGAAACTAGTAATTAGTAGAACATGGAGACAAAATAAGAAGATAGTTTTTTTTTTATTTAACCACTTGCATACAGATATATCATTTCCCCACATTCTGGAATGAAGTATTTTTGGAATTCATTCCTATGAATGTTCTATATGCTCAGGATAGTTGTAGGTTTCATCATGTTAATTACTTGATATACATCATTACTTGCTTGGTCTGGGAAATATAACTGCTGAGGAAAAAAATGTCAACAGATAAAATACAGATAAAATAGCAGACATGGAATGTCACACAGATCTGTTAAAATTGTGCCAGTTACTTTCATTAAATGTTTAGTAGGCATAAATACCTTTTTTCTAGGTTAGTGTCATGGATGTATTTAAACTTTTTGGTGAATAAATGTTATAATTGATGAAAGAATAGAAGGTCACTGCTATGTAACAACAAATGCAAGGAAAATATTATTTTGCTTTTGCTTTGTACTGTGGTCTTCAAGATAACAACTAATAATGGGAATATAACACTTCATTTCACTTTGCTTGAGTGATATATAATGGATAAAAATAACATTTCAGATATTATAATCATAAACTCTTCTTAATACCCAAGATTAAGGTAAGGACTCCAATTAAACACGAATAAGGTTCTGAACATGAAATTTAAATGCATAAGCCTGTTTCAATGGCATAGAGATCAAGTAGGATGTTACTTTCCTTGCTAGACTCAAAACAGAGTCCTGAAGTATTCTATTTCTGACATTTTATTCAATTAAGTCATTTCTGACATGTCACAAATTGAAGATTGGTTTTACAATCGTAGAATGCATCGCATATAAAACTGTACGACCATTATATCTATGCCTGCTCTATGCTTGACAAATCAAAAATTAATTCTACACTGCTCTCAACTCATAAAAAATTACACATTTACATTTATATCGCTGTCTTCCATGGCTTAAAATAGTTAATTTTCCCATAAAAGAAGCAATAGTCTCTCTACTTCACTCTTTCTGCACAAATGTTCAGTTTCAAAATCTTCCAAAAGCCCTCCCATGACTGAGCTGTGAGTAACTATTTACTGAACACCTGAAACCACATCACAGCATTCCCTACATCCAGATACATCTTCAAAAAGCATGTGGTTTTTCAAGCATATCTTACTGCAAATAAATAAGTGCCAGCTGACTTTGGCTAATATATGCACATTTAAATAGATACTGATTTTATCTCAAACTCCGTGGTCCTAATACTTGTCAGAAGATGAAGATCGGGCACATTCACCAAAGTGTGGGGAAATCCAGAAGGAGGAAGTCCTGCCAAGTCTACCTTATTATCATATTTTAATTCTGAGGTAAAAATGCGAGAGGTAATTCAGAAGGTGCGATAGATTCTGGGCCATTGTGGATATGCAAGGTCAGAAGTTTGGTTCGAGATTGGGTGGATTCACCTGCTCCTTTCTGTTCAAGCAATGTTTGAAAAAAAAAATTACTTTTTTTAATGTTAGCTGTTCCCATCTCCATTCATTTGCTGGGTTCCCTGTGCTCTAGAAAACCTGAACAGTGGTAAATTTAAAATCAACCTCCCAACTACTCTGTGGGACTCGGATTTAAATATAACAAACACTGCTGTCTCTGGAAAGTGGGTCACAGTCAGCAGGCACCCACATGCCAGGGTGAATGCACATTCTGAGATTTAAAAGCTTTACTATCCTAGTTCTCTTCTGCCAGTCATGCAGAAATGGGGATGGAGTGTTGTGGAGAGAGGTTATTTATACTCCGCTTTACATTTCAGAGACTACCAACAAAAGACATTAAATATCTAATCTTTTTTTACTTGCTTTATTCCTTCTCCAAAAATTGCTACTTTTCAGTCCACACCATAAACAATGGAAACATTGGGAGGAAAATTGTTGTGAACTCGAATGCCTTCTTTCACAGTTAAG